CCGGGTCCCTCCCAACCACTCGTCTCTTTTCGTAGCATTGGTCTAAGTCCTCGATGCGGAGAGAAAGGAACCAGAGTGATTGTATAGCCGTCTATGGCGCCGCCATATGGGCTTGGTCACGTGGTTCGTGACGTAAGGGAAAGAGAATCTTAGGGTCATGGGGCTGCCCCTGACTTAGATTCTATCTCTCTGTCACCGACAGAATCACTGATTAATGCCTACAGTTCAAAATAGTCATTTTGACTGACCAGAGTCTATGGTGGGTATGAACTATGTGAATAGGCGGGTTCAGAGAACCCTCTGCCTAAGTCTGAACAAATTTACACTCTGATCCACCCAGCATCAGGGGTCAACTAATCCAGTGGTCTGAGGCCAGTCTGAACAAATTTACACTCTGATCCACCCAGCATCAGGGGTCAACTAATCCAGTGGTCTGAGGCCAGTCTGAACAAATTTACACTCTGATCAAGCCAGCATCAGGGGTCAACTAATCCAGTGGTCTGAGGCCAGTCTGAACAAATTTACACTCTGATCCACCCAGCATCAGGGGTCAACTAATCCAGTGGTCTGAGGCCAGTCTGAACAAATTTACACTCTGATCCACCCAGCATCAGGGGTCAACTAACCCAGTGGTCTGAGGCCAGTCTGAACAAATTTACACTCTGATCCACCCAGCATCAGGAGTCAACTAATCCAGTGGTCTGAGGCCAGTCTGAACAAATTTACACTCTGATCCACCCAGCATCAGGGGTCAACTAATCCATTGGTCTGTGGCCAGTCTGAACAAATTTGCACTCTGATCCACTCAGAAATGTCTATGCCTGCATTTAGTAATTAACAAATGGCATCAGAGGGCCTAGAGCTCTGATCCATCATGAACAAATATGAACATAGCAAATGAATTGACAACATAAGAGTTATTGTTATGAAGGTGGTTACACATAGTGGTCCGCTGCATGCTGTCAGAAGGACAGTACTTAGTATTGTATATTACAAAGAGGCTCTTCGCTGCTAATTTTAGAAATTATGACAGCAATAAAATTATGACCCAAGCACTATTACAAAAATTACCCCTTCTTTTCCAATGTGAGGGCCCTGCACCCCCCCCCCTTTATTTAAGAAATGCTTCTACTTTTTTTAACAATAATACAGGAATTATCCTCTTGTTTTGTTAAATCCTGAATGAGTCATGTGACATGTTCTACTGATTGAATAACCCTATTATTCAAATATTTTGATTATTGTAGGTGTACTGACGAAGATTATATTTACATTGATGTATTCAACCAAGGTAAACTATTACAACGTAAGGAATGTATACAATTCGAACCGGCCGTCGGATCCACTATGAGTCGTTATTTCAACAGTTGTCCTCCTAAAGCAGTCTTTACACGTATGGTTGCAAATCTGTTGAGAATCAATCCTCACCATGATGACAACGGGTTAGTCCTCTTTCACTGTGATACTGTTGAAGTATTTATTATACACTGTATTTTACTTCTTTGCATCATTCCTGATTGCGGCTTTAACACATCAATAAGCCTTAATCGCAAATGGTCGTCTAGATCTTTCTGAGAGCTGGGGTAAATTTGGTGGCGATTCGCAAAAAGGTCTCTTGCAAAACTATTAAACTTGTTTTTTTCAGTGGATTACGAGATGCATTGGAGTTGTATCTGATACTATGTCCCAATGATATTGAAGTGAGATTGCTACAAGCCAGAGTCTATTTACATCTCAACATTAATCTTCAAGAAGTAAGTACTTTACTGTGTTTCGTTTTAAGAGGTATGGTTTATTTATAAATGTCAGAAACATCTGCGTGACACTCTTCATCTGAAATCCATCCATATACCGTATTTGCTCTATTAGTAGCGCATGTCCTTATGTAAAAGACAAAACAAGATATATTTTAGTTATCCAGTATATCGTTAAATGACCTTTTTGGTTTATGTGCTTCTAATTGACTGGGTTTAATTTTGACTGATTTGATGGTACATGGATATACTCTTTCATAGTAACCATAATTTATCCCTTCAACAGTTTGGTGCATAATATTGCAAATTTGTATTATTTTTCTACCATTCTTATTTATTTTAAACCAAGTGGACATAATTTCATATTGTCGTGAAACCTACCGAAAAAAGGTATTTAATGCACCTAAATTAGTGAAGTGCATAAGATGAGAGTTGTAAATTCGCACTTTTGAATAACGTTTGGAAAAGTATGAATGTGCACTATCAAGGAATCTGGAAATGCAAACTTGAATGTTGGGAGAAAACATCATCTGATTGCTGTACATTCAACGACAACTGCCCTAATAAATATATGAACATGGTATGATGTGCGACATCGTGATTGTTATCAAAATCGTATGAATTTAACAAACCTGAATAAATTAAAGCATGCAAACTCACTTTTTGCAAAAAGGAGATAACCACTAATCAATGACCAGCCACATTCCCATTTGCCCATCCTTGTTAGTGTAATATTACATTTACCATTAAGATGTTTGGCCTGTGATCTTGGGTTCAAAATCATATGAATTTTAATGCTAGGCTTTTGAATAATTGTACTTTGACTACAAAACAAGATGTATTGCTATTGCCGAATGTATTGATACATATCCATGTATATATCAGGATATGCTTATTATCTCTGTACAGCGGCATTGAAAATGTATATTGATGTTACCAAGTAAACATAATTATTGATAAAGGTCATTGATAAGCAATGCATTCTTAGACTATTTTGTAAATACTGTATTTACTCTATTAGTAGTGCAGTACTTCTGTGTTGTAGAGCTTTATTAGTTGTGATATCTTGTGATGCATCATGGGAGTACCACGATGTTGTATGGCTTCATTACTAAAGTAGTGATATCTTGAGATGCGTCATTGGAGTACTGCCATGTTGTAGGTCTTCATTACTAAAGTAGTGATATCTTGTGATGCATCATGGGAGTACTGCCCTGTTGTAGGGCTTCATTACTAAAGTAGTGATATCTTGTGATGCATCATGGGAGTACCACGATGTTGTATGGCTTCATTACTAAAGTAGTGATATCTTGAGATGCGTCATTGGAGTACTGCCATGTTGTAGGTCTTCATTACTAAAGTAGTGATATCTTGTGATGCATCATGGGAGTACTGCCCTGTTGTAGGGCTTCATTACTAAAGTAGTGATATCTTGTGATGCGTCATGGGAGTACCACGATGTTGTATGGCTTTATTACTAAAGTAGTGATATCTTGTGATGCATCATGGGAGTACTGCCATGTTGTAGGTCTTCATTACTAAATTAGTGATATCTTGTGATGCATCATGGG